AAAAAAAAAGTACACACACATGTGGGCTCAGTTACCGGCTACCTATAGGCTCCCCTTCACTCTTCATGTGACCTACTCACAACACTGAAGGTCTAGTAAATATCAATGTGTGGGTGACAGTCTATCTATACCACAAAAGTTTGCCAGAGCTCTGCATTCCCTGAGGATGATGAATGAATGCCATGAAATTCCAAAGTCTTTTTTTTTCTTTCAGAGTCTCACTTTGTTGCCCTGGGTAGAGTGCTGTGGCATCACAGCTCACAGCAACCTCCAACTCTTGGGCTTAAGCAATTCTCCTGTCTCAGCCTCCCAAGTAGCTGGGACTACAGGCGCCTGCTACAATGCCCGGCTATTTTTTGGTTGTAGTTGTCATTGTTATTTGGTAGGCCCGGGCTGGATTCTAACCTGCCAGCTCTGGTGTATGTGGCTAGCGCCCTAGCCTGTGAGCTACAGGTGCCCAGCCAGTCTTAGCAATTTTAAATAAGTGAAAAGGGCAAATCAAGATTAGTGGGGTAGCTACTTGGCAGGCTGAGGCAAGAGAATTGCTTAAGCCCATGAGTTTGAGGTTGCTGTGAGCTGTGACACCACGACACTACCAAGGGTGACATAGTGAGACTGTCTGAAAAAAAAAAAACTAGTGGGGAAGATTTCCAGGTATAGAGGGAAGTAGATTGCACACATGCATTTGCCCCCTATTCAGTCCAGAGACTCCATTAAAAAGATACTCAAGGTTTTCTTGGTTTTTATCATTGTTTTAAAGGTATAAAGGGCAATAGGTTGAGAATTTCACATTATTTTCTTGGTTTTATCATTGTCTTAAAGATAAAGGTCAACAGTGTGAGAACCTCATTTCTACCAAAAAAAGAAAAAAAAGAAAGAAAATTAGCCAGGTGCGGTGGTATGTGCTAAGACTACAGTTTTAGCTGCTCAGGAGGCGGAGGTGGGAGGATTGCCTGAGATCAGAAGTTAGAGGTTACAGTGAGCTAAGATCATGCCACTGTATTCCAGCCTGGGAGACAGAGCAAGGCCCTGTCTCTAAAAAAAATAAAAAATTTCCAGAACTAAAGAATTTGCTTATTAAGACTAAAATGGCCCGGCTCGGCACCTATAGCTCAACCGGCTAAGGCGCCAGCCACGTACACCTAAGGTGGCGGGTTCGAATCCCCAGCCCGGACCCGCCAAACAACAATGACGGCTGCAACCAAAAAATAGCCGGGCGTTGTGGCGGGCGCCTGTGGTCCCAGCTACTTGGGAGGCGGAGGCCGGAGACTCGCTTGAGCCCAGGAGTTGGAGGTTGCTGTGAGCTGTAATGCCACGGCACTCTGCCCAGGGGGACAGCTTGAGGCTCTGTCTCAAAAAAAAAAAAAAAAGACTAAAATGGCCTGCCAAGGCTTGGCGCCTATAGCTCAGCAATTAGGGTGCCAGCCACATACAGCAGGGCTGGCAGATTCGAAGGTGGCCAGGGCCTGCTAAAAAACAATGACGACTGCAACAAAAAGATAGCTGGGCATTGTGGTGGGCACCTGTAGCCTCACCTACTTGGGAGGCTGAGCAAGAGGATGGCTTACACCCAAGAGTTTGAGGTAGCTGTGAGTTGTGACACCACAGCACTCTACCGAAGGCAACATAGTAAGACTTCATCTCAAAAAAATAAATAAATAAAATGGCCTGCCAAGTATACAACAATATATGATGAAACAAGTACCCATTACAGTGACAATTTACAATACCTGGGATTAAATATCCTGAAAGGGGGGGGGTAGGTATGGGAGTTTACAGGTTACAAAGAATCAGGAAATAAAATTAAACTTTGTCAAAACAATATTAAAAGTTAGGAGCTGCAATTCCTCCAAAATTCTCTAAGAAAATCATTCCTGACTTAGAATTCCACACACAGTCTAGTTATCAATTATGAGGATAAACTAAGGCATTTTCACACAAGCAAGAATCCAAAGGTTTGTTTATCCTTTCTTAGGGAGAGACTAAAGGTTGTGCTTAAGCAACCAAGAAAAGGAAAACAGAATGCAGGGAAAAGGAGACCCAAATAGAAGAGTATCCAAGGAGGGCTAACGGGGCCCAAGATGACAGAGAGGAGGGAGGCTGGAGAGCACGCAGCTGAGATGGGGCAGAATGGAGAACTCCTGGGAGGAGGTCTCCAAGGGGGTATAAAAAGGAATGACAAGTCATCTGATGTGGCTTGACAGTGGTAAGAATTTAACAGTCCCATCAAAGTGTGACAAAAGGTCATTTAAAAAACAAGAAATTTTAAAATGGAGCAACAATCGACTCTAGGTAAAATAAAAGGTTGTTTGCAGTTCATTTATAGACAATGTTACATAGGCATAATAACATGAACATCTAACCCAGGGGTTCTCAACCTGTGGGTCGCAAGCTTTCATTGCTTCATTTGTAACAATGAAAATACATCCTGCATATCAGGTATTTACATTAGGATTCATAACAGTAGCAATATTACAGTTATGAAGTAGCAATGAAAATAATTTTATGGTTGGGGGTCACCACAACATGAGGAACTGTATTAAAGGGTCGTGGCATTAGCAGGCATTAGGAAGGTTGAGAACCACTGATCTAACCAAATGTGAGACATTGAGAGGGTGAAAAAAGGCAAATTTGTATTACAGGGAGTGAGAAGTGGTATTAACAAAGTTACGTCCTCACTTTCCCTGTTAGTCCAGAAATACTATCTGAAATAGGTTAACTCAAAAAATAGTGGCATGCTATTTAGAAATATATAAGTTAATAGTGGAAGAAACAGATGAACAATTGAAAGTGGCTGCCTCTGAGGGGAGGGAAAACTGCTGAGGTTTTTGTTTTTTTGTTGGTTTTGTTGTTTTTAAACTATAATAAGCCTTTTGGAACTATGTGGTTTTTAAAAAATGGGAGATTCTTGACGTACTAAAGCAGTGGTTCTCAACCTTCCTAATGCTGTGGCCCTTTAATACAGTTCCTGTGAGACCCGCTGTCCTAAAGGTATATACACTGAGATCTTTGCAAATCTCTAAATTCACAAATACCATTCTGTCCATTTCACAAGAATTACCGCAAACAGGAGACAACAGGGACATCCAGTAGCTTACCAGGCTCAACCACCTGCTCTGATGTCCCTGCCTTATAAAACAGGATGAACTTGTTCAGGATCCTGGGAAATAACTGAAATGGAAAACTCTAAATCCATGAAAACCGAGCATCTACTATGGCAACTGAGAGTATTATGACTTTTTTTTTTTTTTGAGACAGAGTTTTGTTATGTTGCCCTTGGTAGAGTGCCGTGGCGTCACAGCTCACAGCTACCTCAAACTCTTGGGCTTAAGTGATTCCCTTGCCTCAGCCTCCCAAGTAGTTGGGACTATAGGCAACCACCCGGTTATTTTTTTGTTGCAATTGTCGTTGTTTAACAGGCCTGGGCCGGGTTCGAACCCGCCTGCCTTGCTGTATGTGGCCAGCACCCTAACCACAGAGCTATAGGCGCTGAGTCTATTATGGCATTTTTCATACATGGAAAGCAACTATTGGAACAGCAAAATGCCTCAGTGCTGTAGCCATGCATTGGCCACTCTTTTGCCTCCTATGTTTGTTTACCACTGAAGAATTTCCAATCATAAAACATCACTAACTCACATACCTCCCCACTGAGGACGTCTGCTATTTGCTATCACGCATGAGAGATCTCCAAAGAGGCAGCCACTGTCACATCCCTCTTTGTGCTTTACCAAGATTCCTTTCTGGGAGGAGAGGGTCAACTGTGGCAGGCAGCAGCACACATGTCCCAGACCTCTACCCAACTCAATCAGGGACCACAGAGCTCAAGGTTTGAGGAGATGAAACAAAATGCAATTATTGCTCACAAGATCTGTGGCCCTGCCTTAGAAAGTAAACTCATACTAATAAGTGCCAACTTACAAAGAGGTGATAATTTTGTAGCAATAAATAGGGAAGAAACATTTTGGTCTGAGGAGCACAAACAATTAAACGGAGATGTTGCAGGAAGCTGTGTAAACCTCAGAGTTGCTCTAAGAAGTAAGGGGTTGTGTAAATTTGGGCCCCATTAGGGAAAAGCAAGAGCACCAGACATTGGGCCTACTGCTTTCCCTCTTACCGTGCAGAATGGAGCTAGTAGAGCAGTAGGAGTCTTGATGGTTATAGTGATAGAGGTAGTACTAATAATAAAATAACAGTAACTCCTGTTTGAGAGCCTTCTATGTGCCTGCCAGTCATTGTGCTAAGTTCTTTTATTTGCATTATTCATAATCTTTAAAACAACCTTGCCAGGTAGGGACTATTATCCTGACTTAATAGATGAGGGGGAGACATAAAAGACTAACCTATTTCCCAAATAAACTGTATTTCAACCCAGCATGCCAATGTAAAAGGATAGTAACAGTCTGTTCAATGCTTTTCTCTTTCAACAAGCAACAGAAGTTATATGAGAAAAAATAGCTTACTTTTAAAAATGTCAATTATTAAAAATGAAGGGTTGAGGGTGGCGCCTGTGGCTCAGTGAGTA